TGGTCTTGCGGAAGCCTGCAATGGAAATCCAGCCGGTGGGATTGTTGTGTTTTGTTCTCCTCCGAGTCCCCGGAGAGAGTAAATAGCAATTTACTCCAAGTCCAGCCCCCCTTTCCACACTCCCTGCCGGAACAATAACAAAGAGCAACCTGCACTTTTCACTATGGGGCTGCCAGCTTATAAACCCTAATAACAACTTATCGACCCACCTGGGGGAGGCTGCCGACGTTCTAATGGAACCACAAAATAGCAGCGCGGAGCCGCGGAAAGGATCGCGAGGTTAATGGCACAGGGGTAACATTACGAGATGTACCTTTCCGCTGCCCGCCTTCTCCTCTCTGGAGAGACGGCACTGACCTTCCGTACAGTAAGTCCTGGGAGCATTAATGTTTAATGCCTGGATTGCATTGATGGGCCACCCCAAAAGGGGGCCACATTTGAATAAGACAGGTCCACCTACATTGGCAGCCAGTTCCTTGCTGCTTCACCCTGGGCCCGCTTCTGCCCGGACTAGGTTTGGCAGGTTACCCCTGGCCAACAGTATGGGATAGGGGCTGTGCCAGCTCCAGGTTGGGCAATTCCTGGAGATTTGGGGACTGAGCCCAGGGAGGACAGGGACCTCAGTGGGGTACAATGCCATAGAGTCCACCCTCCAAAGCAGATGTTTCCTCCAGGGGAACCGATCTCTGTAGTCTGGAGATGAGCTGTAATTCCGGGGGATCCCCAGGTTCCACCTGGAGGTTGGCATCCCTAGCCCAGACCCAGTTCGAGGAGCTGGCCAGTGCAGTCTCCACTGGGGTTTCTTTTTCTTTTTCTGGCCCCCTGCAGGGGATTTTTTATTGCATTTTCTATAAACTACAAGAAACAAAGGAGGGGTAACTACAAACTGAGCTGCGGTGGCTCAAGTGGTTAAGACACTGAAATGCAGGCTGTGGAAGGTCGGTAGTTCAGCAGTTCGAGACCCGAGTTGCCGCATGACGGAGTGAGCTGCCGTCTCTAGTTCCAGCTCCTGCCAACCTAGCAGTTCGAAAGCAAGAAATTGCAAGTAGATAAATAGGTACCACTTCGGTGGGAAGGTAACAGCGTTCCGTGCGCCTTGGTGTTTAGTCATGCCGGCCACATGACCACGGAAACGTCTTCGGACAGCGCTGGCTCTTCGGCTTTGAAACGGAGATGAGCACCGCAACCCTAGAGTCGAATTCGACTGGCTTTCGAGCAAGGGAACCTTTACCTTTAACTACAAACTACAGGTGAAAGTAAAGAAAACCACTAAAAACCCAAGAGGTGGTGGTCATACATTGCTTACAAAATTAGCTTTAAGACAATTAAGATTTGTTAACATTGAGGGAGATCAAAAAGTGTGTCGCTTCTCTTATATCCATTCCAGCTAATCAGACTATTCCAAGAGACAAACAAGAGCATAATTAATTTTCGCCAGTGCAAACTGATGTGTCCCCTTGGGTTTCTGTAATGGAGGACCCTCCAAGTGGAGTTCCCTCTGTAGAGTCACCTGGATTCCGTGTGCTCCAAGGACACTCTGTCCAGGGCTGGTTCCAGGTTCTGAGAGGCCCTGGAAGATGGTGCCCGGTTGCCCCCACCAGCCATCCCCCATACCTTTCCACCCCCCACACCTGTGTGCTCCCCCCTTCTCCCACTCATAAGCCCTCCCACTCCTCATGCCCAGCAGCCTGTACCACCTGCACACCCTTTCTCCAGCAACACTGGCTGGTGTGTGTGGCTGGCTGGCTGGGAGGAATACTGCCCTAGCTAGGAGCAGCATCCCCTGTGTGCGCCACATGCCTTTCTGCAAGGATGCTGAGCAGCTGGGAGCATGGGGGGCTGAGCCCTCCAAGCAAACAGATGGGGAAAGGCCTGACCTGGATAACCCAGGCTAGCCTGATCTCATCAGATCTCAGAAGCTAAGCGAGGTGGGCCCTGGTTAGTAGTTGGGAGACCTCCAAAGAATACCAGGGTCATGACACAGAGGCCGGCAATGGCAAACCATCTCTGAACTGTCTCTGGCCTTAAAAACAAGTCTCGCTTGCCCCCTAGTGGTGCATAATGCTAAAAGAGCTAGGACTTCTGGCTGCCAGGCAATCTTTGGATATTCTAGCTATTCTACACACACTGCCATATGACAATGAGTTAATTATGGGGGGAAACATGCAGACAGGTGACGGGGAGGTGGGTGGGGTGAGCAGCAGTGGGCCCCACCCATCCCCCGGGCCCCAGCAGCTGTCTCACATTAGGGTCTGCTGATGCCCACCCTGTTTGTAACCTTCCTGTCCCTGGCAAATCACTGTAATTAGCCCACATTTTAACGAAGGATGCCTTTTTACAACTTCATTGGTGTGCGTTGCTGGAGATATTGCTAAGCGGAACTCTTTCTCCCTCT